TGTTTCAGTTGAGAGAGAAAGAGACCTCATGGAAATGTAGGAAATAAAGTTAAATCTTCCCTAAGCACTGTTCTGATTTTTCTTTGCCATATGTTCTGTGGCTTTTAAAGGGGAAAGTGACAGAATTATAATAGAAATATAAAAACTGTAATAGAAATAAAAATATACAAAGACAATCTTAATATTGTGTAAGCATAATAAAGCACACACACAAAAAAAAACCAAAGCCCGGAAACAATATTTTAAGGAAATAAAGTTTGATATGCTTGTTTTTTTTTTTAATTTTCTTAAAACATACACAGCAGAGTGTTATCAAAGCATTATTTACCACACATGATTTCTCCTAGTTATTTTTGCTATGATTGGACTTCAAAAATGCATTCTCATTGACCTTCAGATATTTAAGGATATTTGGAAAAAAGTTGAGAACATGCTTTTTTGCCACCTACTTTTTTTCACAGAGTGGCTGTCAGTTTGTACGAAATTAGTACCAGGAGTTCTTTTACAGAGATTCTTTTCTAAATGGTCTTTCAGTTACAACATTTGTGAGTTGGAATACTATGCCACATTTGCCTCAGTTCCTCAGTGCCTGAAATAATTGTGTGTGGTGAAAAATGGATATCTAAAATATCATAACTATTAAATAGTATAAAAATACAACAAACTCCATTAAGTAGATTTGATTTTTCTAAGAATCCCTATCATTCAAATCCCTTTCTCAAATCTCAAAGGGAAAACTGTTCAATCCTACAGTTTATTTCATATGTGTATTAGTCTGTTCTTGCACTGCTATAAAGAAATACCAGAGACTGGGTAATTTATGTAGAAAAGAGGTTTAATTGGCTCATAGTTCTGAAGGCTAGCTTCTGCTTAACTTCTGGGAGGGCCTCAGGAAACTTACAATCATGGCACGAGGTGAAGGGGAAGCAGGCATGTCTTACATGGCTTTAGCAGGAGGAAGAGAGAAGGGGAGGTGCTACACACTTGTAGACAGCTGGAATTCGTGCGATCTCACTCATTATACAGTATGAAGAGGGGATGGTGCTAAACAATTGATGAGAACTCCACCACCATGATCCGATCACCTCCCACCAGGCCCCACCTTCAACACTGAGGATTACAATTTGACATGGGATTTGGGTGGGGATACATATCTAAACCCTATCAGTATGATAATTACTAGCCTCATTCATTTTTGGCTTATATGGTCACATTTGCAGTGGGACTGCCTGATTGATACGTCTCTGTTTAAATAAAAAATAAAATCTGCATGTATTTTCTGATTTCTTAGCAATTGGTGGGTGTGGGGAAATCCTGTTAGGTATGGGCTTGTTTCAGTGGGAAGATAGACTGACCTGTGTCATTTTAGGGGTCTACATTTGATTAGCTAATGACGGTATTTCAAAATATGCCATATTTTAAAATGTAGAACTCAAGTGTGAAAAAGGTTAAGTTCTGATGAATGACAGATTACTCTTAGTAACATAAAAGTGAATCAAATTTAACATTGAAAACAATCAGGAAATTTTACCTTTCATCTGGGATTTACCTGGCAATTTGTTCTTATCTGCATGTAAATGCAAAATTCACCAGACTTATTGTGAAATAATTTATGGAAAGTTTCAAATGGATTTTAATGGAAAACTGATCCATAAGAAAAATTATAGAAATATCAATAGCAGCATCAGTGTCCTAAGTATCTAAAGAAAAGAAAAGGGTTAATATTCTGTCCATACTATTCAAATGCAGGTGATAGTTGTCTTCACATTCATGAGTTAAGAGAAGTACAATGGCACATCAGCCAACTGTGCCAACATATGATTTCTAATTGCAGGTGTGGTTTATGATAAGAGAAAAATAGGCTGCTCTTTATTGCTTCAGAGGGGAAACAGAATTCTTATGGAGCATCAGGGAACTGGATATGTGGGTTGGGAGAGAAAGATCCCACTATATTGTAAGAAAGTGAAAACTAGGCATGTAGCCACAGAGACTAATTTGAGATGGAAACTTATGTTTCTATGTTCATAATAATCAGCCCTTTTATATTTTACAACATTTAAGTTGTACAAAATCAAACCCTTTCATGAGAGTTCAGCATAAAGTCTTCATGAAGAAGTAAAACCATACTCTCAGTTCCCCCTGGGTTTGCCCTCTGGTTCAAGGAGGGAAGTTGGACAGGAATAGAATTGAAGTAATAAATATTTTACTCTTTTACTCTGAGTTAGCTTCAAAATCAATCTGTCCCCTGTATTTCTGTCTGTTGTGCTATGGCTGAAAGTAGGGTTAGGAACCGCTTTCAGAAGAATCAGCATAGGACTTGAATCTCCAATTTTCCATGGTAATGCACAGTGTCTGCCTATCTCTGCCCAGATAGGACATGAAATTAGAGTAGACTTCACTAGCGGGAAGAATAGGATTTATTCATATTTGTTTGGAAGGAGAATTCATAAGGATTTAGGAATTGGAATCTCTGGATTGTCTTTTTTCATTCAGTTTGAGATTTTCCTGGTTCTTAGTGTGTCAAGTGATTTTTGATGGAAACTTGGACATTTTTGTGTTATGTTATGCAACTCTAGATCTTATTTGAAACACTCTGTTTTAATTGGCTCTGACTGACACCTCTCCAGCTGAGAAAGCAGTGGGTGCCACCTTATCATTGCTAAATGGAGGTGAACATCCCAGTTCTCCACTTGTCCCCTGTTGACACGCTGCGTATGTGTGTGGGGTGTCCTTGTTACTATTGGACACAGGTAAAATTTCCAGATCCCCATGTGGTCTCCCTTGATACCACAGTTGGGGTAGTCTTGTTCCCAGTGTGCAGTGATTTTGCCACCTCTGTATTGAGGGGAAGGGGAGAAATATCCAGTTGTTGCTGGGTAGGAATGGATGTCAGGGCTTCCTACCATGGTCTCCACTGACACTGTAGAAGATGCTTCATTATTCAGCTGCCAGGCATAAAAGTGCCAGTTTCCTACTTGGTCTTCTCTGACACCACTCTAGTGGGAGTATTAGGGCTCCTTTTCAGAGCTTCATGAGGGTGGAGATCTAGTAACTCCATTCAGCCTTTGCTGGCATGAATGGTCACAGGCTCATCTATGGAGTTTGGCTGGAGTAGAGCAGTTATTGTCTAAAAGTTTCTTATGTTGCTACTCTGGCCCTTTCCTGGTTCTGTAGCTAGAGAGAGCAGACGTTTGTGGTCTCTGCCCGTTGGTGTTTCTGGGTTGCTGGTTTCCATGCTTGTTGGCCTTTCCAGGTTTCTGACTTCTTTAACTACAAATCTGGGATATTTGAGGCAAAAAGAAAACCCAGAAACCTCACCACTGTGTTGTTTCTTGGGTTCTAAGGTCCCAGGCTGGTCTACCTTCTCTTCACCTTACAGAACTTTCTTACATTTTTATGTAACATCCATTTTTTTTTTTTTTCTCATTGTATTTAGCCAGAGGAATAAGAAAAAGTAAGTCTGGGCTGGGAGTGGTGGCTCACACCTGTAATCCCAGCACTTCAGGAGGCTGAGGCGGGTGGATCACTGGAGGTCAGGAGTTCGAGACCAACCTGACCGATATGGTGAAACCCCGCCTCTAGTAAAAATACAAAAATTAATCAGACATGGTGGCATGTGTCTGCAGTCAGTCCCAGCTACAAGGGAGGCTGAGGCAGAAGAATTGCTTGAACCCAGGAGGCAGTGGTTGCAGTGAGCTGAGATCATGCCACTGCACTCCAGCCTGGGCGACAGAGCGAGACTCCATTTCTAAAAGAAAAAGTAAGTCTGTTTTATCTTCTTGGAAGCAGCAGTCCTTGCTATTCAATTTTCATTTTCATTTTTATTTGTTTTATTATTACCAATATTATATTAAGCCTTAAAAAATACAAAGAATATAAAGGAATTTGTATCTCTCCATTTATTATTTTTGATGGACATCAGTACACTTCACCTCTAAACACTTCAGCATACATATTATTAATGAGACTTCACTATCTGTTTATGTTTCTTAAGGTAAATTTTACATAAAGTGAAATACAAAAAATTATAAACACCATTTGATGAGTTTTGGGTAATCCAACCATTATTGAGATAATTTCCATCACTCCCATAAGTTCCCTCAAGTTCCTTCTCAGGTAATTTCCACCTCTTCACCCCAAGAAGAAACTACTGTTTTGATTTTTCTTTTTTCTTTTTTGGTCATAAATTCAAGTGCTATTTTATTGATGGCATAATATTATAGTTTATCCATTCTGGTCTGCTTCCAGTTCTTTGCCATTAAAATTTGATAGTTGGTGTAATGTAAGTCACTGCTCTTTTCCGTCAGCCTAGAACACAGTACAAGCAAGGCAACTTAAGATTTTGTGTGCGTCTTCTGGTTAATAAAATAGTGAAGGCATACAAAGAAGTGTTTTTGTCACACACGGTACCCAAATTTTCCACATATTTCTTGTTGTTAGTGTAGTTACCAGTTTCTTTGAAACTCAAAACCTTTTTTGTAATAGAAGCAAAAGATAGTTTTAGCATTGTAAAAATAGAATTTAGCTTCCTGGCACCAAATTTTATTTTGTGAAAGAGAAACCATGGTTTAAACTACACCATCACTGTAATATTCATCATGGAGAATGTCAGACTAGTCTCTGGAGGAACATCCTATTTCAGAAATACGTAGAATACTCTATTCCCGTACAAAATATTGATGTGGTTGTTGGAGATGGATTCAGCTGTGTCGCACAGGCACGTATTTGTCTGGCCCCATCTGTAATATAAGTAGTCTCTTGCTTCCAGTCTGTTTCCCCAAAATGATATTCTAAGTGGATTGTAATTTCTGATTGACTGATTTACTGATTGCTATGAGGGGAGTCCTACCAGCTGTGAAACGGGACAGTAAACGTTATGTGAGATTCCAATTAGAGTGAGCGTGCTTACCTTTAACAGCCCAGGAAGCAATCAATGATATTTTATTACAACCTTTTTTTTCTTACAACCTTTCTCTGTCTATATATTTTCTTTTATACAGTTGATGGACTGGACAAAGCTTCTATAGCAAACTCAGATGGCCCCACAGCAGGTTCCCAAACACCTCCCTTCAAGAGGAAGGGGAAACTATCCACCATTGGTAAAATCTTTAAGCCTTGGAAATGGAGGAAAAAGAAGACCAGCGACAAATTTAGAGAAACCTCAGCAGGTATGAGTATCATAACTTGTTAGAAGACAGGATAAATTGTAAAGTGTTTTAAAAGGTAGAAAATTATATTTTACAGAGTGCTTTTTTCCCAGAACAAATTAAGCCATATTTGAAATGAAATTATTTATTTTATGGATGAAACAACTTAAGAGTTCTGATTTGCCTTCTTTTTATACTGACCTTGACTTTCTAATATATTCTTAAAAATATATATAAATAAAATTTATATAAAAAATGCGTGGGCGAGGCAACAGAGTGAAATAGTAGAAAATGGTAAGTGGAAATGCTATTCATCAACATTGTGGTGGCATGTATCCATTTTTATATACACATAATGTTACATGTATATTTAACTAGTTAGGCTATACTATTTTTACTAATATATAAATATTTATTTAACTAGTTTATACTACTATATATGTCACATTATGTTTTATATTTATATTTATATGTAAATAACCATTTAACTAGTAGACTACTATATATTTAACATTATGTTGCATATATAGTAGTATGGCCTTATTTGTTAATTAAGACTTTTTAAAACTGTCTTTTTTGATGTATTTATTCTTTAGGAAAGATTTAAGTGGCTATATGAAAGAAAAGTTTTGTTATATTCTTTAAATTTCCATCATATCCTTAGGACAAATAAATGGTCTCTGTCTTAAAAGAGTAGAGGCATAACCCTGTTGATGTGAAAATGTTTGCCTGTTAATTTAGTTTGTAGATGTGTTAAACCTTAAGAGTTATATTGCTTAGTTCCTTTCATGTGGACTCATGGAGGAAGCTGGCTTTAAATCTAAGGCCAAAATTCAGCCCAACTGAAACAAGTACCAGCGTCGGTGTATTTTGTCTAAGATAGAAAAGTGTTTATTAGGTTCAGCGTTCCCCATGCTTACTGTCCAAAGCAATGCCTTCATCAGAATCCCTCCAATGCACGACAGTCTAATATTGTTAGTAGAGGTACGGGGTCACAGAGCGTGTCTTATTGTTCTGTACTAAGATAAGAGCTAGGCTTTTGTTCCAGAGCTGTGACATGAAATTGAAAATACTACACATAATGCAAGGATGTGGAAGAGGGGCATCAAATCTCCCCAAAGAAAATTGTCTCAGATGCATTTACAGCTATATCGCTTATTTGAGCATTTCATATTTAACAAGAAATAATGACATGCTACCTGGAATTTGTTTCAAAATAATCCTACAGGAGGGTGAGGTTGGTAAGATTATAGATGAAGGAAGACTGACAATTAGGTTGTTTAAGCTGGGCAATGGGTCTATTGTGGTTATTACTCTTATTTCACTACTTACAGATACTGGAAATTTTCTGTAATGAAAAGATAGAGAAAGAAGAGAGGCTTGACTTAGGGGAAAATAATGCTGGTTTGGTTATTGGGTCCTCTTCAGTACCTAAGTGGCATCCCGGGTTAGCAGTGAGAAGTGAGACGCAGAGTGCTGTGCTGTGTGAGGACACCTGGCTGGGCGACCTTGAACAAGTCAGATCGGCTTCGGGTTTCTCACCTGCAAAATCGGGGAGTTGAATGTACTGAACTCGAAGGTGCCTTCGTTCCAGATTCTGTTGTTGGTCCTCAGGGATACCCTCGACTCCTTCCAGTCCCTGGCTGGGCATCTTGTTCTGTGTTTTTTGGTTGTGGACAGAACCTCACTGGCCTTCTTCAAGTGCCTCCCTCTCACATTTGCTTAAGCATTGGGAGAATCTGGCTCTTCACGTTACCAGCACTTCCCAAGGTGGGAGCAGGGCTCCAGATGTAAGGTTCGAAACCTAACATAAGGTACAGAATGGAGTATCATATGTTAGTTTTTTCCACATTGGAGAAAGATGTCGTATCTAGAGGAAGACTGATTTATTCAGTTGATGCGAAAGTAATTGCGATTTTTGCCATTGCTTTTAGTGGCAAAAAACCACAATTACTTTTGCACCAACCTAATATTTGGATATAACCAAGAGAGTTATTTTCTTTAAAAAATTATCTCAAGCAGTGAAATGGAGCTGTTAGGATGTAAGGGCTGTCTGCTGTCTGGCAATCAATGAAGTACACCTTAGGCAAGACCCACAATATCTTGAGGTATAAAAGAAAGTTAATTTTTCCAAGAAAAGTAACTCTTCTATGTTTGTCCTTCTCTTAAACTCCTGGGTTGTTATTCACATGGATATGAATCTTATTGTGTTCTGCCGCACAGCGATAAACACCGCTTTTCCTAGTATGGGTTTCTGTTATAGGAATTCTTAATTGGTAGTAGACAGAATGTAACACTGTTTTATTAATGCATTGTAATAATATGTTTACTATTGTGGTGGGAGGTTAGAAGAGTCCCATTCGTGGCCTGTTTTGGTGGTCCCTGAGTCAGTTGTATTTTGGAATCTTCCTTCTACGTCCAAAGCACATCTTGCCCTAGAAGGCAGGCTGGGCTTATGCCCCAGCTCCCTGATCTCTGGCCTTATTTTAAATCAGAAAGTTTCCAGTATCTTCGGCTCTGATTTAGGCTATTCAGTGTCTGACTGTTGGATTCTAGAGCAGGAGAATAGGCCTCTTTTCCATCCACTTCCCCCAGCTACCCTTCTTCACTGCTTTTCTTCTCCTGCATGAGAGGTCCCACCGAAGCTCCAGGTTCTTCTATCCCTTCCCTATCTTTAGAACTCAAAATGGCATTTGTACCTTTTTTTCCTACACAATCGTTTTCCTCCATTTTGCTTTGGTTGGATTTGATTTGGTGGGAGGTGAGGATATAAACATCCTTCTTTTGGATTTTTATGTATGCTTATGTCTCCCCAAAGCTAAGAGTACAAATGCCCTCTCTAAATAAACACAATTGTTCCTCTAACTAATCATAGTGTCTTACCATCAAGACCAGACTTACTGAAAATCTAACCTATCTCTGCTGCTTCACTTTCATCCCACATTCTCATTCTTTTTCCCATTGCAATCTATCTCTGTGTCCTGTATTCACTAAGGTTACTCCAAGCCTCCTAATCTAGTGTCTAGACTAGTGGCATTCTCTTATTTTTATTCTTATGAATTATTTTCTCTTATTTTCATTCATTTCAACCTCTACAACATTTACTGTTACTGAATAGTCAGTCCTGCCTTAATTTCCAAAAGACCTCTTCCTTAATTTACAAAAGCTACCATTGTCTTGGTTGTCTTGGACTTCTCTTTCTCTCTTTTGCCTTCACTCTTCCTCTTCTCATCACCCCTAACCTCCTGAGAGAAGGCTGCTATGTACCTTAGCCCTTCTGTTGCTTTGAATATGACCTTCTTTCCCATACCCACATCCCTCAAACTGGCCCAGCCTCCAGCCAATGCCCACACATCTACCCAAGCACCTGATGGGTAGCACTCTCTGAAGACAGCATGTTAACTCAAAATCCATTCATACAGTCTATATGTATTTCCATGGAAAACATCCTAGCTGCCAGGCACTGTTCTGGAAGCCTGGTGTTCTGCAGCCAATAAGCAAGTAAGGTTCCTGCCCTCATGGAGCTTTTATTCTAAACAGGTGAGGTACTAATAAATGCTATGACGGACACAGGGAGTGAAGGAAGAGGGAGTGGAAAAGTGCTATGTACAGATGCATTCTGACAAAAACAGATCCCCTATCAACCCCAGCTATCCTTGCTACTGTAGACATGGCTTCCTTTGGCATCCAGACTTTGAACCATGGAGTTCTTTGCCTCTTCTTTCTCTTACCATATTCTACCTTCTATCAGCTCCTAAAACTTTTGATTTATTCCAAAGTCTTTAACATGAGCCAATCTTGCCAATCCCTGTTGTCTAGTCCTATCACCTAATGTCTCCGTTAGTGCAATGTAGCCTTTTTCTATGCTTATTTGTAGCTACCTATGAAATCTGTAGATCACTAGAGAAGACAGGGAGACTCAGGGTTCCAGCAGCAAGCCTACCTACAAGGGGAACCTGACCCAGCTGCGGAGGCTGACAGAGGAGGTTTGGGATGTCACGGGCTGTCAGGAGCCCCAGAGTGACCACGGTAATGACTTTACAAGTATCAAGCCAGGAAAACAGAGCAATGAATACTTCACCACAAAATGGCACAAGTTCCAACAGGTAGGGTAAGTCTCAGAGCATCCAGGTGAGCAATATTAGAAAATTCAGGAAGGCCTCTGTAACCAGGGTGTTCTTTTCTCAGGTAGGAGTATTTAGGTGGGGCAGATGGTGTCTAGCAGGGGAATCAGAAAGACTTGAACAGGACCCTGGTCACACAGGCTGGAGTGCAGTGGTGACATCACAGCCCACTGCAGCCTCAGTCTCCCAGCTCCAAGCAAGCCTTCCACCTCAACCTCCTGAGCAGCTAAGACCACGGGCACATGCCACAATGCCCAGCTAATTTTTGTACTTTTGTATTGTACCTTTAGTAGAGATGGGATTTTGCCATATTGCCCAGGCTGATCTCAAACTCCTGTGCTCAAGCAATCTGCCTGCCTCAGCTTCCCAAAGTGCTGGGGGTACAGGCGTGAGCCACTGTGCTCAGTCTTTGGCTCTATCCTTTTTCAAAGAACAAGGGAATAGAGCTGATAACTAAGACAGGAACTTACCAAAGGACTCAGGACAGAAACTTGCTATATAAAGTGGAACACAGGGAATGGATTTGGAGGAGGAATCTTTTAAGATCCTAAGCCTGTGGTCCTGGAGCTACTGTTGCTAGAATGACATAGCCCAGGAGCTGGGTGAGCAGGGAGAGGAGGGCTTGCTCTGGTCGGCAGCAGTGGCCCAACATGGTGGATCTGGGGACACAGGTGGGCAGAGCACCCGTTTCCCCTCTTGTCCCTCCAGATCGTCTTGGATGCCACCATCAGGAAACATTCCTCAGATGGGACTTTGCTCCTGTCACTTCTTGCTAAAAAGTGTGACTGGGTCTGCATGGTTTCTTCAGTGAAATCCAGACACCTCAGCTCTTCTCAGTTTAACCCAAACTGGCCTGGACTTTTCTCCTTGTCCTCAGCCCTGGGACTTCGGTCATGC